AAATAATCCTTGATGTGGTTTAGAACAGGATGGTGTTTTATCACAGCAGAATTTAACTTTATCTCCGGTAGAATTCTGATCAGGCATTAGCGCCGCCTCCTCTTCTTTCTTTTTTTAAGCTAAGGACCCAAAATCAGCAGCTGGAATAGAGGAATGTGAGGGATGTCTAAAATGCATGACCTGTTTGTATTTTGAGCAAAACACATAGACATGTTTTTATATATTTGTATGTATCTGAGACCCATAATATGTGCCTTAAAATAGCCGATAGGAGATCTTTAAAAGCTGCTAAAAACAGATATTTAATGTATTCCATTTATACAGTTTTTCTTTTGTTAAAATACATGACGCATTTCAATAAACCGTTTATTCTTGTAATTTGAATAGGATTTCCTGTCATTATGAAATACATAAAACATTTTTTATTTTTGGGGAGAAAAACTGTAAAACAGTGTAACTAATGTATGAGGCATGGCTTGGTATTTTGGACGAACACTTCAGAGAAATGTTTTGTATAGATATAGACATTTTTAAAAACCAAAACAGTACTGAATTGTAAATAATCCTTTAGAGATGGTCATGTTCATCATTTTGCAATCATTTGTTTATAAGATTAATTAATTATTTTCTTTTTCTCTTGTTTCTCTGTGATTAGGACAATTCTGGAGAACTGGATCTGCTGAGGAAGGAGCTGCCATCCACACAGGACCCCCCGTGGTGCTGGAGGAATCTAAACAGCATCAGGGACATCATCCTCCCAAATCTCTGCTTCCTGCCGTCCAGCTGAACAGCAGCTCAGGAAGCTTCAGAGAAACAGTGTGTTCAACAGAGACTGAAGCTTCAGAGAGAAACAGTGTGTTCAACAGAGACTGAAGCTTCAGAGAAACAGTGTGTTCAACAGAGACTGAAGCTTCAGAGAAACAGTGTGTTCAACAGAGACTGAAGCTTCAGAGGAAACGTGTGATTCACAGAGACTGAAGCTTCAGAGAGCAAACAGGTTGTTCAACAGAGACTGAAGCTTCAGAGACAGTGTTGTTCAACAGAGACTGAGCTTCAGAGAGAAACAGTTTGTGTCAACAGAGACTGAAAGCTTCAGAGAGAAACAGTGTGTTCACAGAGACTGAAGCTTCAGAGAGAAACAGTGTGTTCAACAGAGACTGAAGCTTCAGAGAGAAACAGTGTGTTCAACAGAGACTGAAGCTTCAGAGAGAAACAGTGTGTTCAACAGAGACTGAAGCTTCAGAGAAACAGTGTGTTTAACAGAGACTGAAGCTTCAGAGAGAAACAGTGTGTTCAACAGAGACTGAAGCTTCAGAGAGAAACAGTGTGTTCAACAGAGACTGAAGCTTCAGAGAGAAACAGTGTGTTCAACAGAGACTGAAGCTTCAGAGAGAAACAGTGTGTTCAACAGAGACTGAAGCTTCAGAGAGAAACAGTGTGTTCAACAGAGACTGAAGCTTCAGAGAAACAGTGTGTTCAACAGAGACTGAAGCTTCAGAGAGAAACAGTGTGTTCAACAGAGACTGAAGCTTCAGAGAAACAGTGTGTTTAACAGAGACTGAAGCTTCAGAGAGAAACAGTTTGTTCAACAGAGACTGAAGCTTCAGAGAAACA